GTTGTCTGTTTGCTCTTTTGATTGTCTCCTTGGCTGTGTAGAAGTCTTTTAATCAAATCCTATTTATTTTTGTTGTTGCTGTGATTGCCCTTGAGGTCTTCCTCACGAATAAATGGGAGCTAGATGATGGATATACATGGTCAAATAGCGTCGTATAATAGAGTTTGGAGACTCAGAAGAGAGGAATGGATCAAAAATTACCTATTGGGTACAATAAACACAATTCAGATGACGGATACACTAAAAGTCCTGAATTCACTATACAATTTATCCATGTAACAAAAAAGCCATTTGTACCCTTAAATCTATTGAAATAGAAAAGAAAAAAAATAAACCACTTTCAGAATTAGTTCTATTTCTTTCTGATTCAAGCTTGGGAGGTTATGTGTTTCCAAAAATTTACGAATTTCCTCTAGATTTTCTAGTTTGTGTGTATAGAGGTGTTTGTAGTATTCTCAGGTGATCTTTTGTATTTCTGTGGTATCAGTTGTAATATCTCTTTCTAATTTGATTGAGTTAATCTGAATTCTCTCTTCTTTCCTTGGTTAATCTAGCTAGTGGTCTATTAATCGTATTTATCTTTTCAAAAAATCAACTTTTTGTTTTATTGATACTTTGCATTTTTTGTATTAATTTTAATTCTGCTCTGATCTTTGTTATTTATTCTCTTCTGCTAGCTTTGGGTTTTGTTATTTTTTTACTAGTTCCTGGAAATGTGACATTAAGTAGTTAATTTGTGATTTTTACATAGATATTTAGTGCTATGAACTTCCCTCTTCGCACTGCTTTTGCTGTATCACAGAGATTTTGGTAGCTAGTGCTGCCATTGTCATTCCATTAAAAGCATTTATTTCCATTTTGATTTTATCATTGACCCAAGGATCGTTCAGCAGCAAGTTGTTTAATTTTCATGTATTTGTATAGTTTTGAGAACTCCTCTTGGAATTAATTTATAGTTTTATTTCACTGTGATCTGAGAAAATACATGATTTTAATTTTTTAAAATTTGCTGAGGCTTTCGTGTGTGTGTGTGGCCTAACATGTTATCTATCTTGGGAAATGTTCCATGTACTGATGATAAGGTATATTCTGCAGTTTTTGTGTAGAATATTCTGTAAATGTCTGTTAGGTCCATTTGTTCTAGAGTCCCATTTAAGTCCAGTGTTTCTTTGTTGATTTTTCTGACTCAATGATTTGCTCACTTCTATCACTGGAGTGTTAAGTCTCTTACTATAATTATGTTTCTGTTCATTTTCTTTTGTAGTCTAGTAGTATTTGGTTTTTGAACCTCAGAGCTTTGGTATTAGGTACATACATAAATATGTAGGATTGTTATATCTTCTTGTTTAGTTGATCCCTTTATAAGTATATAATGACTGCTTGTTTTTAATTACTGTTGTTAATTTGAAATCTGCTATATCTGATATAAACATAGCTACTCCTGCTTGCTTTTGATTTCCATTTGCATGGAATTTTTTTTTACCCCTTTACCTTAAGTGTGTTAAATGGGTTTCTTGGAGAAAGCAAATATTTGGGTTCTGTTTTCTTTAATCCATTCTATCAATTTTTATCTTTTAAATGGGACTTCTATACCATTTACATTCAATGTTAATATTGATAAGTGAGACACTGTTCCAGTCATCATGTTGATTGTTACCTAGTTGCTTTGTATTCTCTGTTTGTTACTGTTTTATAAGAGTTGTGAGTTTTTACTTTCAAGTGTTTTGCACTGTTGAGTATTGACTGATCTTTTCACTCTCTAGGACACTTTATAAGCATTTCTTATATGGCTAGTCTAGTGGTGACAAATTCCCTTAGTGTTTATTTGTCTGAAAAAGACTTTATTTCCCCTTCATTTATGAAACTTATTTTTGAAGGATACATAATGCATGTCTGAAAGTTGTTCATTTTAAGAAGATTAAAGATGGAACCCCAATCCCTTCTGGTTTGTAAGGTTTCTGCCAATGAGTATTCTGTTAGTTTAATAGGATTTCCTTTGTAAAATACTTGATGACTCATCTCACAGCTTGTAGGATTTTCTCTTTGATTTTTGACTCTGTCCGGACTGATGACTATGTGCTTTCTTGATGTCCTATTTGCAAAGAATCTTCCAGGAATTTGATGATTTTCTTGTATTTGAATGTCTAAATCTCTAACAAGAGCAGGATGCTCTCCTCTATTATTCTCTCAAATAGGTTTTCCATGCTTTTGCTTTTTCTTTCTATATCTCAGGGATACCTATGATTCTTATGTTTTGGCATTTTACAAAATCTCATGTTTCTTGAGACTTTCTTCATTTCCCTTGATTCTTTTTTCTTTATTTTGACAGACTGGGTTAGTTCAAAAGCCTTGTCTTCAAGCTCTGACAGTCTTTCTTCTGCTTGTTCTAGTCTGTTGTTAAAACTTTCCACCGCATTTTGAAATTAGTTAAATGATTCTTCCAGAACTTCTTCCAGAAGTTCTGTTATTTTTTTTATATATATTTATCTCTTTATTGAGTTTTTCACTTGTGTTCTGAATTAATTTTTGGTTTCTTTGTATTGTTTTTCAGCTTTCTCATTAATCCCACCAAACTTACCTGTGATGCACATTTTGAATTCTTTATGTGACATTTCAAAAATGTCCTTTTAATTGGAGTCCATTGCTGGAGAGGTAATGTGATCCTTTGGGTGTGTTGATAGAGCCTTTTAAAAAAAAATATTTCTTATGTTTATGAAAAAATTCTTATGCTGGTTCCTTATATTCCGGAACCTCTTTCCTCAGTTCAAAACAGATAGCTTTGTGGTTCACTTGTTCTCTTCTGCAGAGAACTCTGCTGCTTAGTGTACAGAGGGAAAATTATACTGCCTTTTAGTTCATACAAGTAGGTACCCACTGTGGTGTCACTGGAAATTTGGGTGGGTTGGACATCAGATCCTTGGGAAAGTGTTGAGGTTAGGTAATCCTCAGTTCCCAGGCTGTTGGATGGCATGATTGAGTCTTTGGTGGACCAGACCAAGACCAGACTGGCAAACTTGCCTTCAAGTCTTTCTGAGTTCAAGCACTGGCTATCATAGTGAGTAGTGAGGTGATGATCTTCTGCTCTGGAAGAATTCTCAGGCAGAAAAAGAGAAGATGTATTGTGAGCCTGTAACAAGAAGGATAAGCTCCCCTTGATTAAATTAGCAGAGGCAGGCCACTATTGGAGCACCAACTGCTCACACATCCCTCTCTTGGCTGTGATGGAAGTATCTGTCATTTGGGGTCATAAAATCACCCAGCTTCCCAATTACCACTCTGGCCCAGCTATAGCAGATGTGGTGGAGGCAGCTTTACCTGCTCTGTGCAGAGCTGCCAGACTGGCTGTGGGGTGTGGTTGAAATGCTCCAGCAGGGAAGGTGTAGTTACGTCAGGGACTTGCCTCCAGGGAGGGTAGTCTCCTCCCAGAAGAGACAGCTATCTAAGGAGAGGACTCCTAGCCACACCTTCCCTCACTGGAGGCAGTAGTTTTTGTCCTTGGGGCACACAAAGGTGCTTGATGTGGCTTTTTGGAGGGAAAGGAGTGAGCCCCAAGCTCAGTGGAAGACTGGGTGTGATAAGTGCTCTGTAAGAGATGAGGCAGCTGCTCCCAAGTGCCCTGTGTTAATTGCCTTTTGTAGAACTCTTACCAGTCCCAGGCAGAAACAGCTGCATTTGCCTCAGCAGCAGTGGGCTGAGAGGGAGGATTAGAAGGCCCCAAATGGTGGGATGCTGGGGCCCTGCTCCCCTTTGTCCTAAGGGGCCCTCTGCTGTGGTACACTCTCCTCTCAGCTAGAAATGGTCCACCCTTAATGTCCAAGTTCCAAGTAACCCATAATTCCCCTAGGACCCATCAATCCCCTAAGGCTGCTGTGGTCCAAGTGTGGGCTGGGGAGCATTGTCTGTGGATCCAGTGATGTAGTGACTCCGGGGCTGAGATTCCCAGAACAGAACAGCTGCAAAAAAAAAAAAAAAAAAAAAAGCTGCCTGTCCATGAAGGGAGGGAAATAACCTCTACCCTCCAGGAAGAACCTGGGTGCATGAGCAAAGAACAATTGGGGTGCACTCACACACACAAATATTTAACTGGTTGTCCTATAGCATACCCACACCAGAAACTCGTGCTTGGGTGCAGAGGAAGCTATGTTCACAGCACTGAGTGGTTGGAAGAGGGGAGGCCCACATTTCCATGCCCCTTGCCAGGTTCCAGTGCTGACTCTGCTCTGCTCTGGTGGCAAAACTGTCACTAATTAATAAGTTTAATTTCTCTCAATTACCCAAATATATTACATTCTCCTGCCAAGATGTGGTTCAAAAGAAGAACTAACAACTTTTAAGAAAACGAAACTCTTGAAAATTGAGCTTCAATATTAGAAAAAAACTTTAGCTATATAATTTATGCATATTTTATTTTGTATTTTCATATACTTTTATTATTTTAAACAGAATCAATTGCTCAAAATATAGCCAAATTATTTCATGTTTACACCTTTGTAAGATTTTTTTCTTATTACATAATATATAGACAGATATATCCTGTCACATGTCATGAGGATAATTATTTTTCAAAGTTTGGGCATTTTTATACTATCTTCATAAGTTTGGCATTTTTATACTATCTTCATAAGTTTTGGCCATAACTACACACCTATCATGTGTAATATTGTATTTCTATTTAAACCTACCTTAAATGAATTCTCTTTGCTGTTTTTAACTTGGCCTCATTCTAAGTATTAATATTTGAGAAATCCAAGTTTGATTTGTTAGTTATAGTTTTAAAATACATAGTAAGTTATGTTTGTGATTATTAAAACAAAATCTCATTTATGTATTATGCTTGATACTGCCGGCACAACAAAATGTGGCACTAAGTGATGGGCAATGGATTACACAGCAAATTAACATCATTGCAATAGTGCAACTCTCTGAAAGGCCTGGCTTATTCATGCGAAAAATGAGAGAGTAAAACGATGGTCTCTAAGTTCTCATTTTCCTTCTCTCAGGCTGTTTGTCTTCTAAGAATGATGACTGGATCTAGGAAGCTTTGCAGGAAAGACGTAAGCTTGTTTCCTGGCACCACAACTCACATATGAGTAAGGAAATGACTCCATTGGTCCTACTGTAAATCCTTAAATGGTAAGCAATGAGAAAATAGGGGCTATATTGTGGAATTCCGGCAAGATCACATAAGTATCAAGTATATGTCAGCACGTGTAAAATGAAATAAAACTATGAAGCAATTTATTATTCTTATATATAATTCCTCTGGAAATTTTCTTTTACTTTTTGGGAGAATTGAATCATCTGGATGACCACCTGCCATTTTCTCTTCCACATAAGAATTATATGATTTATTCAAGTGCTATCAACTAGAGCTTTTCTGAGAAAGAAGACCAGATCAAGTAGCCAACAAGGGTCATTCTTCATGCAGCAAAGATTGTGATAAATGCTATCAGCAACAGGCATTTTTTTCCAAGGCTTATACTGCACTAGGGGAGGCATGGCCATCCATAAGTAACTCATAATTACTGAAAATTTATTCATAGTATTAGTAGTATTTAAACCACACATTCATGCACCCTTTCTATTTTATATACTACATAAATTGATGTACACTCATATGATATATATGTCTATCAAATATATATTGCTATTTTTAATATACATCTCAACTATATAGTGCTATATTTATTATACATTGCTATTTTTACAAATGTTAATTTTTACAATTCTGTGTGGAAGAGTAGCTATAATTAACCTCTTTTGTAATTTAAGATTTATTAATATAAAAGAATACTGAAAGGCCCAAGATAACTATGGGAAAACTTGCTTTTTTTTTTTTTTTTTTTTTGAGACAGAGTCTTGCTTTGTTGTCCAGGCTAGAGTGAGTGCCGTGGCGTCAGCCTAGCTCACAGCAACCTCAAACTCCTGGGCTCAAGCGATCCTTCTGCCTCAGCCTCCCGAGTAGCTGGGACTACAGGCATGCGCCACCATGCCCGGCTAATTTTTTTATTATATATCAGTTGGCCAATTAATTTCTTTCTATTTATAGTAAGAACGGGTCTCGCTCTTGCTCAGGCTGGTTTTGAACTCCTGACCTTGAGCAATCCGCCTGCCTCGGCCTCCCAGAGAGCTAGGATTACAGGCGTGAGCCACCGCGCCCGGCCAAAACTTGCTTTTCATTGGTGTTCCTATGCCCTATGGTCATAATTACTATTTATTTCTGGGAAAAAAATAATAAAACATAAAAATTAAACATATATTGATAGGGAAAACAGGAGGAAACATTTAAAATGAAAACTGTCCTGAAAATCGTGGTCCCCAGGTTATATAGTTGCTACCTATGCAAAGATGGGCAAGGAGGATCTAGAGCTTCCATCAAGTTCCTTCATTTCCTGACTAAGTAGTTGAGCCATTTGGTTACAAGTTACAGAAATCTGATTCAAACTGGCTTGCAATAAGAAGAAGAAGAGGCCGGGCGCTGTGGCTCACGCCTGTAATCCTAGCTCTTGGGAACCGAGGCGGCGATTGCTCAAGGTCAGGAGTTCAAAACCAGCGCTGAGCAAGAGCGAGAACCCCGTCTCTACTATAAAATAAAAAGAAATTAATTGGCTCAACTGATATATATATAAAAAATTAGCCGGGCATGGTGGCGCATGCCTGTAGTCCAGCTACTTGGGAGCCTGAGGCAGAAGGATCACTCGAGCCCAGGAGTTTGAGGTTGCTGTGACGTAGGCTGACGCCTGGCACTCACTCTAGCCTGGACAACAAAGCGAGACTCTGTCTCAAAAAAAAAAAAAAAAAGAAGAAGAAGAAGAATTCGCTCTCTCACACTCACACATGTGCATACACACTCACTCTCAGGCAGCCCATCTCCCTGTAGTTGCCACTAGCAGCTGAAGCTCACATAATTCCCTGTCTTTAGCAAGGCCATCAGGAAGACAGTTTGTCTTCTTTAACCCATGGATAGATATATAGATAAAATTCCTGTAATTCTATTGGTTGGGTCAACATAGGATCTGCACAATGTAGGACACTGTATAATCCTTTAAACAAGGGGTTTGATGGGTGCTACCTATCTCTACCTTAACCACATGCACTGAAGCTAAGTGAGGAAAGCCTCCCCAAAAGAATATTGGGATGCTTTTTACCAGAAGAAGGGGGCGTTGTGTATCGTAAAATAAAATAAAATCTCCGCTAGGTTTGTGCTCAGTTAATCACTGAGGATTAGTATAACGCCCTCAAGCAGCTGCAATTCTAAAGGGCATCCTAAACCTAGACCATAGAACATTACCGAGACAATAACACTATGTTCTATAACTTAGGATTTTTTTTTCTTAATACCTTTGAACTCATCCCTTAAAATGAGTTCATGAGTTTTATGCTATGTATATAGCAGTTGTTAAAAAAAAAAAAAAAAACTTAAAAAATTTTTTTTTAAAGAGTGATTTTACTCTGTAACTGCTCAAAGGGCTGTGTATAGAACCTATTTTGAGCTTCCCCCTAGAAATGGTACTAAGAGAGCAGGGACCAGCCACCAAGGGAAGAATAAAGGAGGCACGAGTGCTTCAAAACAGGAAGAACTACTGTTGCCCTAGAGTTGGAGGAATGAGACTCACTGCCAGGGAGAGCTACTTGAAAGAAGCACTATTACAGATGGGAACAGCTGTCGGGGAGCCTGTGCCAGGAGCCATAGCCAAGGGCAGTGACAAAATGAGCTGCTGGGAATTGACTTGAGGAGCAAAAGGAATTGTCAGTGGTTTCAGCCTTCTTCACCACACTGTAGGAAGTGACCACAGAGGTCTGGCATGAGAGTAAGATAGTTGTTTTTACTAAATGCTTTATAGCTGTATCTGTATCTTTATATCATTTATATGTGTGCTTATATCTATATCAATACTGCTGGGGATAGACTTTGGGAGCATAAGGAATTGTCAGTGGTTTCAGCCTTCTTCACTACACCACCGTTGACCACAGAGGTCTGGTGTGAGAGAGAGTAAGGTAGATGTTCTTACAAAATACTGTATATCTATATCTATAGGTCATCTATATGTATATCTAAATCCCTGTCAATATCAATATATAGATATCTATCTTAGTATAATTTCAGTATGCCATGTATTTTTGTGTATTCCACAGTAAAGGATAAAATTTTTTTCTTTTTACTCATGCAGTTAATATTTATATAGCCTGTCTCTGCAAAAGATAAAATAAAAAGAAAATTTTAAACTTCATACCTCTGATATGATTGCTATCTAGGGGAGGAAAGAAGTATGAAAATAAATGTTTAGACTACAATGTAATGGAAATAGTTTGCAAAATGTTCTTTGGGGGAGAACAAGAGAAGAGAAAGCTGCCTTTGCCTGAAGGACTTGATATGGCTTTAGGAAGATGTCACATTTTATCTGCATCTTATCAAATGGAAGACACAGAAACTCTAATAAGGGTAGAAATCAGCTATGAAACAGTAAATCAGGCTTCATATTCTGAAATGTCATGTTGGGTAAGATAGTTTCAGACATTACAACTTAAATAAAGAAATAAGGTAATAGCTCTCGAACATGTATAGGTTCAGTGCCAAGTGAATATATGGGAAAATGTATTTAGCGGGTTAGAAGAATATTAGAATATGCTTGGTACGTACTTTATAATGCATATAGTTTCCCCTCAAAGTTTGATATGATCTATTCTCAGATAATTTGAGTTAAAACTAGTAAATTTAAGCGATTTTTATCTTTTACTTTTCTAACTCCTTTTCCTTCTCACTCACTATCATTTTATATATTTCTTCTCCAGAAGCTTATAAGAAGCAGAAGAAATATGGCCCCATTGCTTGGTTATTATTATTTAAGAGATAATTATTAAATAAATGGATAACATTTGCTGAAAGTTTATTATATCATAGGCACAATACTATGTAAAGTATGAGTATTAATTTATTTAATTATCTTTAAAACACCATAAGAAATATAGCATTGATAATGTCATCTTATAGTAAAGATACTGAGGGTTAGCTACTTTAATCAATAGTGGGTGGCAATAGTGGGTGGCAATGCTATCCCACTATCACATAGTGGGTGGCAATGCTAGGACTCTAGCCAGGCTCTCTAATTTCAAGTGATTTCAACACTAAAGTAAAGGAATTGAAAACCAGTATAAATCACGTTAAGGATGCTTGTTTCAAGATATTAATAATACTTTAATTCTTTCTTAGCTCAAGACAAATAATTTTGTTTACCCAAATATTTTTTTCCAAATCATAAAATGATGTTAAATACCTAAATATCATGATAAGTCTCATGATTTTTTCCTTAATTCCCAAACATCCAAAGATAAGACTGAAAGGTTATGCAGAAATACTTTTGGTGATGCACAAATCAACGTAGATCCCAGATAACCAAATGTTAAGTCATCCTCCAGCAGAACAGCTACGTTTTTTAATAGGGAAGCCATGTCATCTTGGTGGTTGATTTATAAGTCTTTCTAATAGCCGATAAAGTTCTATCAGATGATCTGCAAACTCATAAAATTTTATGAGCTCTATGTGGGTCTTTCCAAAACCCTGAAGAAACTGTGGAGACAGATTCCCGGCTCACTTCTAAGTACTTCTTTTAACATACAACAAAATTAGGCACAGTTCTGATTAAGTAGCTGATACATAAAGAGTTGATGGGCCACGTGCCAATTTGGTCTTCAGCTGTATATATTATGACAGTTTATCTAATTTAATAAAGTATTTTATGAAATAAAAATGGCACAAGTGATGTAATAGCTGGTGTCTCTCATTACCATCCCCATTCTTATGTTAGGTATTATAGCCTAAAGATAAACTCTTCAATGCTTCCCAGCTTCCTATTTAGTTGTTAACCAACCAACTATTGGACAGAAATGGAAAGCAGAGGCACAGTAGGTCTCATTACAAAGATTGGAGGGGGAAATATGAAAAGTGGAGGTCCAGTGTAGGTGTGGCTGCCTTGCTTGCTGTATACTATTAGGCAGACAGTGAGCCTCTCTGGACCTGTCAGAATCCAAATCTGTAAAGGGGAAATGATGATTCATCCATCAGTACCTCTTAGAATATGATGAGAGTAAAGTATGACGATGGAAATGAGAAAACATTGCAGCTACAAGGTGGTGGTTTTTTTTTTCTTTTATTCTTTTCTAGCTGGCCACAGACAACTACAATTTACCCTTCTTTTTTCAATCAGTGCAGAATCTCCAAAAAGATATTGGACAATTATCAACTAATGTATTAATTATCGATTGTTGTGTAACAAATTACCCTCAAATTTAGCAGCTTAAAACAACGAATATGTATTATCTCACAAAGCTTCAGAGGGTAAGGAATCTGGCTGGCAGTGGCATAGCTGGGTGGTTCTGGCTCAAGGTCTCTTTCGAAATTGAAATCAAGCTGCAGTCAAGATAGGGCTGCACCATCTCAATGTTCTACTTGAGGGGAAGGGTCTGCTTCCAAACTCACCATATGGTAGTGGTAAAAAGTCATTATCCAAAGCAGATACACTGGAGAAAAGAATCCTTATTCAGTAAATGGTGCTGGGAAAACTGGGTAGCCACATGTAAAAGACTGAAACAGGGTCCACACCTTTCACCTCTCACAAAAATTAACTCATGCTGGGTAACAGACTAAACCTAAGGTGTGAAACTATTAGAATTCTAGAGGGAAACATTGAAAATACTCTTCTAGACATTGATCCAGGCAAAGAATTTATGAAGAAGATCCCAAAGGCAATCACAGCAACAACAAAAACAAATAAATGGGACCTGATCAAATTTAAAAGCTTCTGCACAGCAAAAGAAACTGTCACGCAAGACCAAACAGACACCCTACAGAATGGTAGAAAATTTTCACATGCTACACATCCAATAAAGGGCTGATAACTAGAATCTATTTAGAACTCAGGAAAATCAGCAAGAAAAAAATCAAACAACCCTATCAAAAAGTGGGCAAAGGACATGAACAGAAACTTTTCAAAAGAAGACAGAATAATGGCCAACAAACATATGAAAAAATGCTCAACATCTCTAATCATCAGGGAAATGCAAATCAAAACCACAATGAGATATCACTTATCTCCAGTGAGAATGGCCTTTATCAAAAAGTCCCAAAACAATAAATGTTGGCGAGGATGAGGAGAGATAGGAACACTCATACACTGCTGGTGGGACTGCAAACTAGTTGAACCTCTGTGGAAAGCAATATGGAGATACTTTAAAGAGCTACAAGTAGATCTACCATTTGATCCAGCAATCCCATTACTGGGCATCTACCCAAAAGAACAAAAGACATTCTATAAAAAAGGCATCTGCACTCAAATGTTTACAGCAGCACAATTCACAATTGCAAAGATGTGGAAACAACCAAAGTGCCCATGAATACATGAGTGGATTAATAAAATGTGGTATATGTATACCATGGAGTACTATTCAGCTTTAAGAAACAATGGTGATATAGCACCTCTTGTATTTTCCTGGATAGAGCTGGAACCCATTCTACTAAGTGAAGTATCCCAAGAATGGTAAAATAAGCACCACATGTACTCACCAGCAAATTGGTTTCACTGACCAACACCTGAGTGCACATATAGGAATAACATTTATTGGGTGTCGGGAAGATGGGAGGGGGGGAGAGTGGATGGGTGTCTACATACATAATGAGTGCGATCTGGGGGATGAGCACCATCTGGGGGATGGGCACACATGAAGCTCTGACTCAGGGGTGTGGGGAGAGGAGGGAAGGCAACATACATAACCTAAACATTTGTACCTCCATAGTATGCTAAAATAAAAAAAAGAAAGAAAAAAAAGTCATTATCCAGACTCCTGTAGACTTGGTATAAGTGAGTAATAACAAATGATCAAGGAAGTGGCTAAGCTTCACATTTAGATGAATAAAATGTGAGAAAGAGGGTAAATGAACACAGGAAATTGAAGACAGAGTTAATGACGGGAAAGCTAGCCTGCTCCTGGAATTGATAAAAAGTTTTTTTAGATGGCTTAGGATGTCCATAGGCCACATGCGTTTTATCTAAAATTATTCAGATGTCAGGGTGCCAGAAGATTCTAGCTGATTTCTGAGTTAAACATATGAACCTGATAATGAAGATAGGAAACAGATTTTCTTAGCTACTGTACTTTTAAAATACATAAACAAAACTTTTAAAAATTTCACTAAGTCATTCCAATGCTAAAAGTTTTCAGAAAGACATTCAGCTGTCTCACTACTTTTTTTCAGTTACAGTATAACTGATATTTTTTAAAAAATGGCTAGCAGGGTGCACTCAAAAAGCAACTTGATTTTTTTTCTTGCAGCTACCCTTAAAACTCATTCTGTGTGGCTAGTTCAGTAAGTGGTGAAACTTCAGGAAGGCTCATTTGCTCTCTCTTGGATAATAAAGTCTCCCAAACCATGTCAATCTCATAATTATTAATAATATATCCATTCCAAACTAATAATTAAAATTGCTTACTTCATTTAAAGTTAAGGCTTTTTTTTTCTAGCTCTTTGAGATGTCAAATTAGGTTTTTTATTTGAGAACTTTCTTTTTTTTCTTTGTTAGTATTTATTTAGTTATTATTGGGCCTTTGCGTTTCTACATAACTATTAGAATCATGTTGTCATTTTCTCTGGAAAGCCTGTTATACTTTTTATTAGAACTGCATAGACTATGTAAATTACATTGGGTAGATATTATTCTTTCCAACCATTAACTTTATGTATATACAGACTGTTAAGATCTATCTTTATGCCATTAAATATTATAATTTCCTTCATGAAATTCTTTAATAGATATTGTGTATATAAATTTATGTACAAGTATATAAGCTTCAATTTGGCTTCATGTATGTATGTTTATAGATACTCATTTTCAAAATTTAATTGATTAAATGTAAAAACCCTGAATAGAAAATAACCAAACTAGAAGGTTATTAAGCAACTATACTCCAAAGCAGAAATAGTACAGGCAGCTTTCATGTCTTGGGGTTTTGGTAAAGTAACGAGAACTTCCTTCTTTACTAACGTATACATTTATCACTATGAACTTCCCTCTTAGATGTATTTACTGCATCCTATAGCTTATTGACATGTTGTGCTTTCATTTGCCTCAAAATATTTTCTAATTTCTCTTTTGATTTCTTCTTTGACCCAATGTATTGGTGAGAATGTGGAAAAATAGGAACATTTTCACACTGTTCATGAGAATGCAATAGCCAAGACAGCCCTATCTACATGGAGACCTTGAAACCCTAGCAAAAAGCCTCTGCTTAGAACCATGATCGGTAGGAAGATAACACCACTATATAAAAACAATTCCTAACATGTTATTTGAAAGTTAGCAAGTAAATGCACCTGTAATGAACAAGGAATTGAGGAACAGACTAGACTTTGATTTCTCCTTTGCATAGAGACCCTTAATTTCCATTTCAGACCTTGTTGTGTGAAGCCCTTATTTGTTTACAAAAGTTTGCTGTCCATGCTTTTTGGTTGCCTCCTCTAAAAACTTATATTCATGACTTATATATCCTTATCAATTTTATAAAATTCTAGATATTTTTTTTTCTTTTTCTATATGCTGGATTCCCTGGAAAGTAGATTTTTATCCTTTAATATAATAAAAGCTTTAGAATTATAGAGCTACAATTCATTGAAGTCAAAGTCACCGTAAGTGATTAGGTGGACCATTACATACTACAAAAACAAGTGAATGCCCATCTTTGCCAACCACTGATGCAACAGCTATTGGTACAAGACAAGGCAAAGAAGTTTGTAAAAAGAATTTTGATTAATCAGATACAGCATAAATTCTGCTTCACTTTGGCACCACATCTAACCTTTTCTACTTATGCTAATGAACTTGGATGTAGTAGAGTGTGAGAGGAAGAAAGAGCAAACACTTGTGAAAATGAAATAAACCCACATCTACCTGGACAGTGCCAAAAAGATAACTTTCCCTTAAGTAAGTTATTCCCAAACTATAAAGTTTATCAGTCCAAGTCTAAAATTAGAGCTGTAGAAAAAAAGAAAATTAAAAATAAAAATATAAAGAATGTCAATACAAGTGGTTCGAATAGAAAAAAAGAAAATTAAAAATAAAAAAATAAAATTAGAGCTGTAATAACCTCTTACCTTCTTGATGCTCCTAGGGTTGGGTCTCAGAGACGCCAGTTCCCAAACTCTGGGCTTTTGAAGCTCTTTGAGGAGCTTGTACCTATAAAGCCTATGGACTTATCTAATGAGCCCAGTGAGAATGTTACATAGGAGTTTTTCCTGGCAAATCAGGCCATTTGTTAGCATTGGCACTCTGTCAACAAATAATTATAAAGTTTTATTTCTTGACTAAGCTACAAAAATATGATTGAACAGACAATGGGAATAAAAAATAAATGGTATTACTATCTACATTTGGACATTCAGAATTGCTTTATTCCCTGTGGGTCAGCCTTTGACAACAAAGGTATAATGAAGTTTCATAACATTTAAGAAGTTGAAAAACCTCCAAGATTCTGGCAATACGTTGATGGACAGTGCTTGCTTTCATTGCTTTGAGTTTTATTTTCTTTTATTTCTTTAGGAGATATTTCAACAAGAAATTGGGCGAAGCTGCTTTATAGATGTCTTCTTCAATCAGCAAGGCATATTTCAAATAAGTATCCTCAACTGATCTCTATAACCATAGAGACAAAAGGAGCTAAAAATGTCCTTGCTTGAGGAGAAAGACCAAAGAAACAAAACCAAAATGACACTGGGAGAAGGTAGAAGAGAGAAAATGTCTGCATGATTTTTCATCTAGGATAAGTTCTGGCTCAGGAGATACATACACAAATCAAATTGTACTATAATAATCCAGTGAAGAAATGGCAATAATTGGAGAAAGAAAATAGGAAATGAAACAAGAGATAAGGAAGACAGAGAGAGAGAGAGAGAGAGAGAGAGAGAGACAGAGAGCGAGAGAGAGATGATTTTAAGAAGTGGTAACAACATCAGCAGGAAAGAAGTTGTAATGAAATAAAAAGAGAACAGATTCATTGACAGCAAGGGAAATTTAATTCATCATCAACTTATCAGGTTCCTGGTGAAGCAAGGAAATGAACTAAATGCCAAGGATTCTAAAATGAATAAGATTTCTTCTGAAAGTTGTCTTTTATTGAGAATCTACTATACACCACAACCTTACACCCATTGTCTTTTACTTTGAACGTTTTTGCTTAGTTGGTATTATTTTTATTTTATCAAAGAGGAAACTGTAGCTCAGTGTTTAAATAACTTTCTCAAGGACAAACCAGTCATAAAGAGTGCAGCTAGAATTCACAACCAGATTTGTCTAAATCCAAAATTCATTTTCTTCCCAGTATAATATGAAACCTTCTCAAAGTTGGGCATCAGACAAGTTTGCAAATAATATAAGACGTGATAATGGGGATAGCTGAGTAGGAATTAAGGGAGAAAAATGAAAGTGGGTGGGATACCTAATGGAAACACCAGTGTTCAGGTACGTGGCATTTCAGTAATATCCTAGTCTTACTAATGCATAGTCGTAATTGATGTTTATAAAGATAACCCCAAATCATCAAAAAAGAGCTCATTTTTGTTTTATATTCTCTAATTTATAAGCAATAAATTATAGAATACATTTTAGAACTTCCTGAAAATTTCTTTAATATCCCACCACCTCACCTCAAACATATTTAGGTTTGTGCACTTTCTTATTTCTTTTCTCCAGTATCAAAGGAAGAGGTATCTTCCTCCTTCTCTCTGTAAATACTGAGTCCATGCCAGTGACTATGCTGGACTCATAAAAGCAAATTAAGATCAAAAGAGACAAGATTCCTAACCATATGCACTCACATTCTAAAGGGGGAATAGTTAACAAACATATACATATTGTGTGTGTGTATGCACACATACACAATATTTTACCGATTGGGATTCCTACCAAGAAGGAAAGAAATAAAAATCTGTGATAGAGAATGTAATGGAAGACAACTTTAGATCAGGAAATTCTTTTGTTTAGGATTAATTCTCCTAGCGTCAATTTCTGTATTAGTATTTCTATTAATTGTTATAAATAAAACTCACTCTAAATAATTTAAGCAGAAAAATAATATATTAAATTATATGAAGTACTTTTCAGCATATCTGGGTGAGCCAAGGAGTCAATCTTTGTGGGCACGTGGCAAGAAATAACACACAGACCACATCATGACATAATTCTAGGAATGATCCTAATGTACCACCACGGGGAACAGACACTATATTTTATAACAATGATTTTGTCTCATCTTTACTGTTTCTAAAAATCAAGTTTACAATCTTAGTTACATCCTCACCAAAGATGGATTTTATGGCATTCTTTTATTTTCTGATCTGAAGTCTAACACAGGTACATCAATTATTAAATACAAATTCTAGGTCACATGTCTCTCTGCCTTAGATGCAAGAGATATTAGAAAAGTGAGTTTTGGCTTCTATCCTAAACAGATGGGATTCTGAACATGGGCCAGTCCACAGATACAAGAAGGCTATACAAAAGATGGTGAGTACCATGTTAACAATATGTACAACTGTGACAAGTCCTGCCAGATGCTCCTCAATTTCCAGTCTCCCCTGCTTCCTTAGGAACAAAACCCTTAGTGACAGGACCCAGAGTATTGATGTACACAATTGAAAAATACTTCCTTGCTTCTCCAAAATTCCTTTAAGATCTTTTCTTTAAGATCTTTCATTTCTTTAGTTAAGTTTATTGCTATGCATTTTATTTTATTTGTAGGTATTGTAAATGGTATTGCTTTCTTGTTTTCTTTTTCAAATTGTTTACTGTTGACATATGAAATGTTACTGAATTTGTACAGTGATTTTGTATCCTACAATTTTACTGAATTTATTTATCAGTTCTAATAGTTTTTAGGTGGAGTATTTAGGTTTCTCAAGATATATGATCAGATCATCTGCAAACTAGGATAATTTGACTTCTTCCTTTCCAATTTGAACTCCCTTTATTTATTTATTTCTTGTCTGATTGCTCTAACTAGAACTTCCAGTACTATGTTGAATAACAGTAGTGAAACTGGACATCCTTGTCTTGTTTCAGGTCCTAGAGGAAAGACTTTCAGTTTTTCCCCTTTGGGCATGATGTTAATACTAGCTATTGGTCTGTTATACATGGCTTTTATAATATTGAGATAAGTTCCTTCTACACCCAGTTTTTGAGAGTTTATATCATGAAGGGAAGTTGAATATTATTGAATGCTTTTCAGTGTCAATTGAAATGATCATATGGTTTTGGTTCTTTGTTTTGTTGATATGGTGTGTCATATTAATTGATTTATGTACATTGAGCCATCCTTGCACTGCTGGGATGAATCCCACTTGATCATGATGAATAATCTTTATAATGTTCTGTTGAATTTGGTTTGCTAGTATTTTGTTGAGGATTTTTACATCTATGTTCATCAGAGATATTGGCCTATAGTTTTCTTTTTATTATTGTTGTGTCTTTGTCTATTTTTGGTATCTGGGTAATACAGGCCTCATAGAATGAGTATGGGAATATCCCCAACTATTTTTTGGAATAGTTTAAATAGGGTTGGTATTAGTTCTTTTTTTAATGCTTGACAGAATCAGCAGTAAAGCTGTCAGGTCCTTTGTCAAAGCTGTCAAGTCTCCTTTGTCAGGAGACTTTTTATTACTGCTTCTATCTCGTTACTTACTTGTTTATTTTGGTTTTGGATTTCTTTCTTGTTCAATCTTAGTAGGTTGTATGTGTCTAGGCATTTATCCATTTCTTCTAGGGTTTCCAATTTTTTAGCATACAGTTGCTCATTGTGGTCTCTAATGATCCTTTGGATTTCTGCAGTATCGCTTTGTAATGCCTCCTTTTTCATCTCTGATTTTATTTATTTGGGTCTTCTCTCTTTTTTTCTTAGTCTAGCTAAGGGTGTGTCAATTTTGATTATTTTTGAAAAAACCAACTTTTTTTTGTTATTGATCTTTTTTATTTTTGTCTCAATTTCATTTATTCCTGCTCTGATGTTTATTTCTTTTCTTCTACTAATTTTCAGTTTGGTTTGTCCTTGTTTTTCTAGTTCTTTGAGATACATGATTAAGTTGTATATTTGAATCTTTTCTACCTTTTTTGATGTAGGCACTTATTGCTATAAGTTTTTCTCTAATTACTGCTTTTGCTGTATCCTATAAGTTTTGATATTAATATACTGTGTTTTAATTTCATTTGTTCTGAGACAGTTTTGAATTTCCTTTTTAACCTCTTCATTGATCCACTGGTCATTCAGAAGCATATTGTTTAATTTGCATGTGTTTGTATAGTTTCAATGTTTCTCTTGTTATTTATTTCTACTCTTATCCTAGAGAAAATATTTGGTATGATTTTACTTTTTTTGAATTTTTGAGACTTGTTTTGCGGCCTAACATATGATCTATCCTTGAGAATGATCTACTAGCTGAGGAGAATGACATGTATTCTGCAGCTATTGGATAAAACATTCTATAAATACCTATTAGGTCCATTTGGTCTATAGTTCAGATGAAGTCCAGTGTTTCATTGTTGATTTTCTGTCTGGATGATCTGTCCAATACTGAAAGAGGAGTGTTGAGGTCCAGTGTTTATTGTATGGAGGTCTACTTCTTTCTTTAGCTCTGATAATATTTGCTTTGGATATCAGGATGCTCCAATGTATATATTTGGAATTGTTATATCCTTTCTTAATTAACCCCCTTATTATTATATAATGACATTCTTTGTCTCTTTGTATAGTTTTTGTCTTGAAATATGTATTATCCGATAGAAATATAGCTACTCCTGTTCTTTATTGGTTTCCATTTTCATGGAATGTCTTTTTCCATTCCTTAAATTTCAGTCTATGTGTGTCTTTATAGGTGAAGTGGGTTTCTTGAGGATAAAATATTATTGGTTCTTATCTTTTTATCCATTCAACCACTCTATGTCTTTTGATTGGAGACTTTAGCAACCCATTCACATTTAATGTTATTATTGATAGGTACAGACTTAATATTACCATGTTGTTATTTGATTTCTGGTTGTTTTGTGGTCTCTCTTTCCTTCCTCCTTCATTCCTATCTTTGTTTAAAGTTACTTTGTCTGGTATAGTGTTTTAATTTCTTGCTTTTTATTTTTTGTGTATCTATTGTAGGTTTTTTTGATTTGAGGTTACCATGAGGTTTGCAGAAAACATTTTACAATCAATTATTTTAAGCATATGACAACTCTACTTACAAACAAACAGGCAAAAGGAAATCTAATAGAAATTCTACTAAAGAGTAGAACTTTAACTCCATCTCTTTCACTTTTCTAACTTTTTATTGTTTCCATTCATACCTTTAATACTATCTATCTCTCAAAAAGTTGTTGTTATTTTTGATAGGTTTGTCTTTTAGTCATCCTACTTAGGATATAAGGGGATTATATACCACAATTATAGCAATAGAATATTCTGTATTTCTGTCCTTACTTCTATGAATGGGTGGTATGCCTTCAGATAATTGTGTTCATTAGTGTCCTTTTCTTTCACATTGAAGAAGTCCTTTTAACATTTCTTGTAGGACAGGTCTGGTATTGATAAAATCCCTCAGCTTTTTTTTTTTTTTTTTTTTGTCTGGGAAAGTTTTTATTA